CATGTCATCCTGAAGCTATTACAAGAAGTGTAAGCTCTACTGGTTTACTTCCCCATTGGTAAAAAATGAAGAGATAAGAGAAGTGCATAAAACCATAAAAACTTTTATCAGCTCATCGTCCAGTCAGGCAACTGCTGCCATAAATGCAGAACTAAAAAGGTTTCTGTGGTTTTGGCTGATGTGTTTGCACCACACACATACACACAACTGTCAGAGTGTAGAGGTGAAAGGGAGAGGGACACTCACACTCGATAGAATGACCTTAACAACGAGGAAGACGCTGGTCACAAGAGTGGTAACCTGTGGAAGGAAGAAGGATTTACATTTGTGTTATGATTCATGTCCAGATCTGCTGATAAAAGACTTTATATCATTTCGTCAGTGTGTGTTTTACCGTGGCTGAGCTCACTTACTGCAATAACCCACCAGTGCTTCAACCGAAAAGCAGCGTAACCCACTTGTAAACACAGGAAACGAAACAAGGCGAGGAGCTGAGACAAGGAGGAAGGAACCGAAAAAAATGACCTCAGGCATTTACAGCTATCTTGTGTTGCAGACCTATTGACTTATGCTAACTTGTGTTAATAAATACAGACATGTGACCAGCCACGACAGCTTATTCAGACACTATAAATCAGCCTGGTCACACTTGACACATAACAATAAGATGAATAACAAGAGCAGGTTTAACATGAGCACTTGATCATTAATGAAGTCAGTGAGAGGTCAAAGCTTTCCAAACATGATCGAGATTACACACTAACACAGTGCTGTTTTTCTACATTGAAATCACTTACAAAAATGTCAAAGAAGGAAGACCTGTAGTCATAGAGGACGACCTCATTTTTTAAGTTCTCCCAGATTGAGTTGGAGTTCTGCAGGAGAACAGAGCAAAGTGGACATCAGAATCCAACCCATCACAGTTAACAGAACAAAAACCATGTCTCTAAAACTCTGTAGAGCCCAAATGAACACTCACATTCAGCTCAATAATCCACAGAAGGGAGATGAAGAGCAGGTCGAAAGTCACAAAGAGACAGAAGGTGCGGCGGACATCGGAGATGGCCTTGCGCTCTGCGGGTGGCACCAACAGGTACGGGGAAGGAAGGGACACGGACGTGGAGTAGGAAGCGTTCAGGGAGGCGATGGCAGGGAGGCTGCCCCCGAGTTCCCCATAGTCTCCACCCGGCATTCCTGCGGTGAGACAGGAAACTCCCCCTGCTGCAACAAGGGAGATAAAGTTGCTTATATTTAGTATCACTGTCCTTCTGTTAGGGCTGTTCCAAATACCAGTTTTTGGGCATCAAAGCTTCAGTGAGAGATACAATTATTAATCAAAGGGAGGTAGGGGGAAGATAAGAGATCAGTTTTTAGTTGAGGCACCTGCATGAACTTGACAATTAGCAATTAGCCACTTAGGTCACAGTAATATTAATCATAAAAAGTGGAAAAGAATAATACTTTGCAAGACGGCTAAGCTGTTTCTTAAAGTTTACAGGTGATTAGCCAAGCTCATTTTAGATTTATAATATATGCTAGTTTCCATTTGGATTTCTGGCACTTTTTGGGGTTATCTTCGCAAATGTTGAAACTATTCCAGACACCTGACTTTTTCGACATCTTGGAAGCATATAACAGGTTTTCTTGTGAAACTGTCCCAGTTTCAGTAGTGCTGGACTGCTGGTGACTGACTTTGACAGTGAGTTACAAAACCATTACTAGGTTTAAAAGTCCTTGTCTGTGAAGAATCACTAATGATAACTAATGCTGGTGCATAATGAATAATGTTGGGTTACTCTTTCTTAATTTAATGGCTATTTGGGACTTTTTGGGTGATACAATAACCAATATACTGAACCATTCAACTGTGGCTCAGAGGTAGAGTGGGTCATCCACTAATCGGAAAATTGCAGTTCAATCCCTGGCTCCTCCAGTCCACATGTCTAAGTATCCTTTGGCAAGACACTGAATCCCAAATTGCTCCCAATGTCTGTTCCATCAGTGTGTGAATGCGTGTGAATGGTTACTGAGTAACAGGTGGCACCATGTATGGTAGCCTCAGCAACTAGTGTGTGAATGTGTGTAAATGGGTGAATGTGACTCAGTGTAAAAGCGTTATGAGTGGTCGGAAGACTAGAAAAGCGCTATACAAGTACAGTCCATTTAAGTACTGATGTGAATGTCTATTACTATGACAATGATTGATGCTTCGAAGAATTCAGGCCAGCCCTTCCTCATGTATTAACCAAAATAACAGGATCGATGCATAGAAAAAAATCTTACACTGTTCAAATATGAAAGTAAAAATCCCTGGTTGCTGAATAAAAATGTAGTTTATACTCAGTCATTGTTTCATGTCTAATGTGTGTTACAGCAGTACCTAAACAAAGCAACAGCTCTCTTATCTCCATCTGGGCAACATCCTAATGAAAATATGTGGTGAACAAACCATGTTGTAAAAAAGAAAGGTTATGTGACATGTTTTAATTTTGACTGACTTGTTTCTACAAGATCGCACACTGTGTGCATATTTGAACACACATACACAAATAACAGCAGTGAAAACAGCAGAGAAAATATTTAATCTCTCCTCACTACTCTTGTTACTCTGCATGCAGTCTCATGACTTTCCTCACCTCACCACAGGCGACTTTATCAGTTTTAAGATCCAAAAGTACACATGGTGTGGTTACGATAAACATCTCCAAGTATCATTGTCAGCTTGTCTTCCTAGATAAAGAATCACAGTCTGCCTTGTTGTCTTTTGGTCATCGGCCCTCTATCAGTGTTACATGTCAGACAGTGTTTCTCCACTGTGGATGTTCCCATAAAACAGCCAGCTCCATGACACGTCATACACAGTGTATGTTGTATCTCATCTGTGCTTTTAGATGTTTGACAGCTGGCCCATGATGCAGGATTTGATTTTAAGTAAGACTCAGATTTCTAGACTCAACCAGGCAAACAATGTATCCTTTAAAATTACATTACATTACATTACATTAACCGTCAGTATATTTAATACTGGAGCCTGTATTCAAAGCTGCTGGCATCACATTTTGGCAGTCTGCTTTTTAAACCAACAAGTTTGACCATTGGAACATTGTTGACGCAGTGAATCACGATCAGTCGATGCTGAGCTAGTTTCAATTGTCTCTTAAACTATTTCTAGACAATGAACTTCATGTCAACAGGCATCATGAGACATCTCAGGTTTATCCACTTATGTAGAGAAACTACATTCATCAGCTTTTTGACAGGACATCGTCATGTCTTTATTATTCAGATTTACTTTAGGTTTAGCGGTTCCAGACCCCAACACTCCCTCGCCTCTCACCTCTGCTAAAAAACAAACAACTATGACGGCAACGTTACTTCACTGTCTGCAGGGCAAGCTAACAAGCTAACTTACCCCTGTCAACCAGTGTTAACAGTAAGAGGAGACAGACACGAACTAACCACCGTGATGGCCGGTACACTTTTGTAAACAAACACTGACCAAATTATAGTTAGCTAGCTAACTAGCCACTGAGGTTAGCTAGCACGGCTAGCTAACACCGGCTAACTTACCTTCGTCTCTAGGCAAGCGCTCTCATGCTCCCAAAACTGTTACACCATGAAGACAAATGTCACACTAACACCATGTCTCAAGTGAGCAGCTAGCTACAGAAAGTAACGCTATAAAATAAGAAAATAGAGTTGACTTAACCACGTATCTGTTTTGTTTTTCATAAATCCCGAATTTTAATCATGAAACTTACTTGATTTACCGCATCATCATCGCCTGACGTTAGTCTTCCGGGCTGGCCTCTCAAAGATTAAAGTCGCCGCAAGATGTATCACTGCGTCTCTACGACACGGCGTAAATCACGTGACGGACCGAAACTACATCTCCATCTATTTTAATTTTGGTTTGTGTGGTAAAAAGAAAGGAGAGAAACTGAATACATTTCGACACAACCTCGGACTAAAATTAGACTTTGGAAAATATGTCATTACGTAAGAAGCAGCCAAGTATGTCAGAGCATGTCACATCATGAGGGGAAACCAGCAGGACATCCCAGTACTACCCATGTGTAACGTGCCCTTTCTTTATTCTTACATTTCAACATTATGTTACTTGGGATGAAACAAAGTTGCACACCTTGATCACTAGAGTGAAGTATAGTCGTCATTATAAACTCTCTCATGCCAACTGTCAAAACTGCACCGAGAGTTAAGGCAGACATAAAAATCTCGCACTTCAACTTCCGGAGAAGACCTTTAAAAAACAATAATACATTTAGAAAAATAAAATTTTCAAGAGACACAGAAGTATTAGTTGTTTTACGCGAATAAATAAACTCACGGGAGATCAGCGCTAACAGGAATGACCAAACAATTCAAGAGAATAGAATGTACTGCACTTCCGGTTTCGTTATAAAATCGAGTACGGCACTTAAAGAAGCCTTAAAAGAAGACATGAAGAAAACACCATTAAACGCGTAAGTCAGTCACATTTTTCCCTTTTATTTAAGTGGGCACGACTAGCATGTCATGTGATCCGTGTCACATGACCTCTGAATGAATTTTAAATTTTAAATTGAACATTTTTCCCCAGTGCATTTTATACCCTTTTATTTATTCTCATAAGCCTTAAAACAAGTTATTAGCAAGATGTGTAACCCCTACAATATACCCTATTGTAAAAATATTATATTTCACCTGCGGTATAAAAATATTGAAGTCCATAAAAAATACAATATTTCTTTACATGTTCTCACCAACAGGTTTTCAAAAATCCCCTATATGTTATGATTTTTTTAAATAAACAGTTTGGTTTTGAGTCTATGGTTTTACAGTACTAATTAAGCAAGTGTTTTGTATTGATAAACAGCCCAAGACTGTTTCAGTGTTTGTGTTGTATGAGGGACAGTGACTAGAAAGGGACAAAACAAGATAAATGTAAATTCACATTTCCTTAGATGAATTCAGATTTCACAGACACACATATGTACAGATCAGATTAAAGGAGAAAAGGAAAAACTGTTTATTTTGATATCATAATGTTGCTCACTTTAAAACAACCACATCACATTGAGAAACAAGAGAATGGAAAAATAAAATAAAAATAAAGACAGAATAAGCATCAGAGTCCATACATGTCTTCCCATGGTTGTTTTCTTCTGACCCGGGTGGAAAGGGGAGGTGGACAGAGAGCGAAGGAAGGAGGACAGCATCAGCTGCAGAGCCTCGTCCTGTCATCCCACTATTTGGGCAGGTCAGAGGTCAAAGTTTCACACAGTTTTTATATACAAACCGCAGCCCAGATGACACACACACAGCAATATTTATTCATACCGGGGCCCATCTGAAAACCTTTGTATATCAAATCCTGTATCTTCACTTAAACTGGAAATGAAATTAGATGCTGACTAGAAACATTTAGAAATTGTCATTGACTTTGAGAAAAGAGAGACCAAGTGAATATCTGTGGTAGAAAGACTTCAGAAAGTTTGTGTGGTAACCATTTTTACACATATGTCAGTCATACAGCCTGGTTTTAGGCTTGTGCAGCGCATATAAACAGTAGAAACAGGACAGAGCGGAGCTACTCATACACTGGACGTTAGATTAGAAAAATAGCTCTTACAACAGATCCATGTCATACAATTAAAAACATGACAATAGAAAAGCGTTAACATACAAAAGGGAATCTGTGAGCACTGAGAAATCCCAAATGAGTCAACAGTATTGGACTTTAAATTAAATTTTTTGATTTCTTAACATGGTGTCAGTTCACAATGGATCCAGTTCAAATGTGTGATACATGGAGGTTGGGTCCTGTATTTCAGACAAATTAGAGGTAGCTTTGCCCTTTAAAGATTCATTTTTAAGTTTACTCAAACATGACAAGTGTGGTGTGAAATAACCACACACATACACTCACTTGCTCATGGATTTAACACAGTTACAGACAAAAAAAATTTGGTGCTTATAACTGAGTCGTACATAAAGTGATACTCCACCTCTGAATATTTTCAGTATCTGTCTGTTTATTATTGATTAACTCTCTTTAAAATATTACTAAGCATATGGTGGGCAGAATAGAAGCACATCATGATACAGAAATGATCTGAGAAGTTTCTATGGGCATTTTTATTCATTTTTTAGACCTTGAATAATTGTCACAATCAGAAACATGAAGTAAAGTCGACCACATCTGCTGTTCTCTCTCAAGCTTTCAAGAGGTGAGCGATGTTAAAACCCATAAAATTTCAGTATGTGGTAACTTAAAGGGTAACTTCTGCATTTTTCAACCTCATGTCTCCGTGGCTAATGGGAACAACAATTTTTGGCCAAGGATTAAGTGAGGTAACAGTGAAATAGGCTGCAATACAATTCATGTGGGCAATTGAGCACCATCAATTTACATCCACTAAAAGTGCTTGTTTTTGCCACTGACAGGCTCAGTGTGTCACTTGTGTTTGACAACATAGGATCCCAACAGAGATAGACCTTCTTGTTAAAGAGTTTTTTGTTTCATGGGAAACAGACCAGAAATCGCTATTGTGAAATCCACCAGACTCCATTTAAATAAACAGTCATTTTACCTTCATAAAACACACTACATTCAAAATCAACAGAAACAAAATAAAACAATCATCACTCTGGTTTAGTTGAATTAAACCCTTAATTCACCCAGTAAAATGTGAAAATATCCTGGCTCTATAAACGCTAAAATTACTGTTTCTATAAATGGAGTCTGGTGTGTTTGCCAATGGTGATTTTGGGTCCGTTTCTGGTTAAACAAAAATGACCTTACCCTTTAATAAAAACATTTGTCTCTGTTAGTATCCTTTCCATAATTTGTCAAACATTTAGAATAATAATCTGAGCTTGTCAGTGGCAAAAAAGCACTTTCAGAGGACCTGAAGGATTCACAGTGCCCCATTTGCCCACAGGAAATTCATTGCAGCCTGTTTCATGGCTTTTTGCTCCAATGGTCTCACTCAGAAGTGGACCAATTTCAAAAACTCTTGTTCCCACTAGTCACTTAGACAAAAAACAGGGGAATATAGGATCCAAGTTGGATAGTGTCAAAGTTACCCTTTAACACAGCTCTGATACAGTGTAAGGAGAGTGTAAAGTAGGCTGATTGCAATAAGATAAAATTATCAAACAGCATGCCTTGTGCTCAGACAGGCAATTTAAATGCTTCGTAGGAATGGCAAACTCTGCCACTAACAGTGACAGCTGCTGTACAGAGAATGTGAATCCATAGAATGGCTACTGCTGAAAAAATGTCCACCATAAATGGCATTAAAGATGAATTTAACTCTATGAAAACATTAAGAATTACAACTTTAGAGGAAGAGTGTGTAGGACTTAGGGGCATCCGTTGGCAGAAATGGAATATAACAGTCATAACTACATTTTCATTAGTTTATAATCACCTGAAAATAATAATTGTGTTTTCTTTAGCTCAAAATTAAACCCCTTATATCTACATAGGGAGCGGGGATCCTCTTCTGTGGAGCCCACCATGTCTGCAGTGCCATGTTTCTACAGAAGCCCAAACAGTGGCTCTAGAGAGGGCCTTTACCTGAAGGCCACCGTACATTCTCCAACACCTTTGGAGGGGTGAGGGGAGGCATATTCAGTTAGTTGCAATCTGCAACCTCACCACTAGATACTACTCAATGCTACACACTTCTCCTTAAAGTATTTGATACAAGGCAGAGTATCACTTTAAACCTGTCGTTCCTTCTTTCCACTACTAGATGGCAGTGCATGCACATTTAATCACAAGGCTAAACACTACATATGCTGCAAATCAGATAGTGTAACATATACCACGCACATTTAAAGACTTTCAAGTGCTTTGAATGGGTCTTTGTTGAAAATGTGCCCAAGAGAGTTTATATGTGTGTGAGTGTGATTGTTGTGGTAATTATTACCCTCTTTAAAGGAACATTTAGCTCTGTGCAGAAGCATTAAGGTAGAGGCAGGACTGGTCTTACAGGGGTATTTGGTCATGTTGACCTTGTTGGCCCCTCCACTCTCATTATAAGCAAAGAGACAGTAGTGGCATCCGTGGCCTGCTCTGTCAGTAGATCATTCCTCAGCTGTTCATAAGGGCTGACTCCTAAAACACAACTGCCTCTCTGTGCTCTCTTTAATCCACCTTTACTATTCACCTTTGAAGGTGAAGCAGAACAAAGATCTTTGCTCACTCTTGTGTTTGATTTCATGGAAGTATCTTTCATTCAGCTCTCGTCCTCACTCGTCCCCACACATTAACAGCACACACCCACACTCCTCATCTCTGTAGAGTTTTTCAGATTTTAACCATTTGACAAAACATCTTCCCTCCTCCCTCTCTCCCTTTCTCCCTCACTCTCTTTCTTTCTCTCAGTAACTCCCCCGACTGTTCTCCTCTGTCGTTTCCTTGATTTTGTCCCCCTCTTCCTCCTCCTCCTCCTCTTCCTCCTGTGCTGCTTGGATCTGCTTGGCCGTCTCTCTCACGCTGGAAAACTTGTCTGATTGCTCGGTGGTCGCCGTCTCTTGGTGATCTGAGGGGACAAAGACTGACGTGAAAACAAGCAGGGAAATCACAACACAAAGTTTTTCCTTTTGGAAATTGTAACCATTGATATCACTGTATCATAACTATCGTATGGAGTGTCTTTGGTTTGGATTAAAAAATAAATAAATGCAAAAATCTCCCTGCTGTGGGGCGTTGGTGGCTTAGTGGTAGAGCAGGCGCCCCATGTACAAGGCTGTTGCCGCAGTGGCCCGGGTTTGACTCCAGCCTGTGGCCCCTTGCTGCATGTCACTCCCTCTCTCTCTCCCCCTTTCATGCTTGTCTGACCTATCAAATAAAGGCTAAAAATACCCCAAAAATATCTTTAAAAAAATCTCCCTGCTTCAAGCCATTTCTTTTCATCTTCCATGATAGTAAACTGAATATTTTTGAGTTTTGGACTGCAGGTCAGACACTGACACTATTTTCTGACATTCTATAGACCAGGTATACCCGTCAATGAACAGATGCACGCTTCCTTCTCATGATATGATTGGTGGATATATATCGGTAAAAAGAAAATAGTTCCTACATGAAACTGCTCCCAGCAAGGTCTGTGGATTATCTTGAGTAACCGGGTCATGATTTCTGGAAAGAGACATTGCTGATGAGTTTTCTCAAATGTATTTTTTGGGTGCTTTGAGCACCACAGCAGAGTACCATCTACTTCCATTATATTTGAGAGAAGGCAGACATCTCTACAGCCGATATCTCCAACACTCGGCAACACACACCAAAACAATCTAGACTGATAAACACTACTCCAGGTGAGAGGAAAAATATGTGTTTTTGATTTGGGGGTGAACTGTCCCTTTAAAGACTGAGGTTGTGTAATACTGTCCAAGACATTTGTTTCTTGTAAGTATTATTTTTTTGGGCATTTTTTGCCTTTAATGGACAGGACAGTTGAGTGTGAAGGGGAGAGAGAGAGGGGGGATGACATGCAGCAAAGGGCCACAGGCTGGACTTGAACCCGGGCCGCTGCAGCAACAGCCTTGTACATGGGGCGCCTGCTCTACCACTACGTCACAGACGCCCCATCTTTTAAGTATATTGAGAAGCATATGGACTGATGTATAATTAGTTCAAGAATGTGCAAGTATAATTGAGATGGGTCGTATATAGTATCTGTAAAAAAAAAAAAGTAATATTTCTGTTAATTTTACATGAATTTAGTGTTTATGTGTTCCTTTATACGATGCAAAGCCACTTCAGAAATTCAGAAACACGCAGGATGAGACTGTGCTAATTCTTAAAGACTTTATCGACTTTATCGTTGTACAGCACGAGCTTTCCGCCAAATGTCAATCTTGTGATGAACAGATACCTGATTAAATACTTTGTTTTCCTTGATGCATCTTCTGTCTGCAGTATCACAAGCTGAGCCCAAATCATGTCACTCGACTGGAAGAACAAATGAACTGTAATCAAAGGACCCAATCAGGATCTTTCGACATCCCATTTTGTGTTTCAGCAGGCTTCTACAAAGGGATTTATTGAGAGAGCCTGTCATCTGTGCCGACAGAGCAATAACTCTGAATGAAATGCCACTGTTCTCATGTGGTATAATGGAGATTAAAAACCAATAACTTTGCCGCATAAAACAAAATAATAAGGGAGTGTATATGCAAAAGAAGTTCACTTCAGCTTGAGATTTGTGTACTTCTTCTTAGTTTTGTTGGAGATCAAACTTCCACGGATATTTTGTTGCCGCACATAACTCAAACAGTCAAAAGTTTTTATTCTCTAAATATAAAATAAGAGTTGCAGCAGAGAGCAGGGGCAGCACAAACTGCCTGCTCTCTGTGTGCTTCCTGTCTGGCCTCTCTCGCTGCTCAAGGTGTTGTGTCCAGACCTCTGGTCAGCTGCAGTGACAGATTTTGGGTGAGAGACAGAGGGTTAATATGACACTGAGTCTGTCTGTCGCTGCACAGAGCTTCATCTGTGCTGCTGGTCAGCCTGCAGAGGGGCTTACGTTACCCTGAAAACTTCAGTGGACTTTGAGAAGAGCAGCTCTGTTCCACTGGGAACAAACAGGGGTTTATATTGCATTTGTTATGGGAGCAAATGAGGTCAGAGCAGGTTAAAGGTTGTGGTTTTGCTTGCCCTTTTACATCTGCCTGCTACTTTCTTTTCTGTTTTTCCAAATCTTTAAATTCTAAACTTGATTGTTTATGACTTGGAAACTTGTTGTTGTCTCAAATAGTTAAACAAAGACATAAAAAATAGACTTTTCTAAAGTTTGTAATTTTGTAAAGCTTCTAGTCTGGTAGATTGTTTGAAATGTCAGGCAATACCAATGTAATGTAAAGCATCTATACTTTATAAACTCTAAACTTGAGAGAATAAAGTAAAAGTAGATTTTGACCGAGCATATTGAGGCTTAAGTTTTGTCGTCATACATTATCTAACGTTTCAAGTCTGTAAAATATGTTTCCTTGAAGTAGGAACCATCACACTTCTTAGAATGCTGTTTGATATACTAACCATGAGTGATATAGCCTAAGCGTTTGGTGACTGGCTCAACAGATGAACCATTGCAGCACCTTTGTTAAAAAAAACAGGGCTATGGCTGAAATCATTCATTCAATCACTACTCCCTACTCACTATCTATGGAGTTCTATGTAGAGGACTATATAGTGAGCTTATCAGCAACATGAAAAACACTTTGGACACTACTTGGGTAATTTCCTCTGCATTGTTAATGACATCATTGCTGTGGCACAATTAAAATGGACCAGTCAACATCAGCTGGTGAACTATCCATAATAAATACCAACATGCCTCTCTGTAAATTAATACGTGATATTATACTCGGCATATTTTCATGAATTGATAAATACAAAGTACTTGACACACTGCTCTGCTGACATCCCTCTTTCTCCTCAGACAAATATAATTTGCCTCATCATTGTCACTCCCTGAAAAGATTACAGACAATCAATATTTCTCAAGTGCTTGTGTGACATTGATGTAATTTTTGCTACTTAGACTAGGATTTAAAAACAAAAAAAAATTATAGCCCATTAAGTTTTAACTTAGTGGCACTGTCATTAGCAATTACTGCACAGTGCAGGACTAGCCAAGGTTAGCGAGCTGGGTCACTGGTACATAGTGCTTGGTTAGTCACCATCAGTTGTACACTACTTTTTTCAATGCATTGTGGTATATTTTGAATCCACTATATAGCGCAGAATAATTCTCACTACATATTTGGATAGCACTGCAAAATTGTGAACCCACATGGTGGACTATACAGTGAGTAGTGATTTCAGACACAGCCCAGTAGATTAAAGCAGTAGATTGTTGTTGTATGTCACACAGGAGTTTCATTGCTATACCACCCGCCAGCCAGTTTATGTTACTTCAGCGGTCTTATTGGCAGTGTGAATGTAAAAAAGCCCTAAGGAGTAGGACTATGTAGTTCACGGGGGTAGCTCCCAACTGGATAGTTCCTCTTTGTGAGTTCCAGAACTCTTTAGTCCAAAAACGCCTTTTCATTGTACAAGACATTTGTTTTGTCAACAATAATAACTCTCTAAAATACCTTAGTAAAAGCACAGTAGCAACCCTTATTTCTGGCATCAAAATCAGATTAAAGTTTAAGTAGCGTTGTGTAGGATTTAGTGAGAACTGCAGATTGCAAGCAGCCTAAACTTCCCCCATGTGCCATGCATGAACCCCCAGTTAGGACTCCTACATGGACCTGGTGATTTAAACAGCTAAAACCACTGAATAAAGAAGTTTCAGGTTACACATCAGTGTTTCTCCAGTGCTGCTCAACTCATTGCAGATGAGCCACAACCCAGCAACTGCTAATGTGTGCTGACCTTTTTTATGCCTCTGCATCAGTGATAGCTGTGGCCAGAGGCATTATGTTTGCCGGTCGCCCATTCGTCTGTTTCTACGTACATACATACGTTTGAACAGATATTCTCGGAAATGCAATTTTAGAGAATGCCTTGAGAGAATTTCCTTAAATTTGGCTCAAACATGCACTTGGACACAATGCTGAACTGATAAAATTTGGTGGTCATAAGTCCAAGGTCAAGGTCAGAGTGACCTTACAAAACATGTTTTGGGCCAAAACTCAAGAATTGCTCATCATGCTAATTATGCCAACATTTCACAGAAATGTGTATCAGTCTAACATGATGAAGTGATGACATTTTATATTCAAAAGGTCACCTTCACCGTGACATCGTAATGTTCTACAAAAACACTTTTCTGGCCATTACTCAACTTCATAGAGACATTTGGTCAGATACTGAATTGATGACACTAATCTTGGGTGCCCACCTTGAAACTGTGTCGATTGTGAAGCTCTTCTGTGCTACCAGATACAAGATGTGTATGAAGCATCCCTGTTTTCTCAGACATGGATGTAATCTGGGGCGTCGGTAGCTTAGTGGTAGAGCAGGTGCCCCATGTACAAGGCTGTTGCCGCAGCGGCCCAGGTTTGAATCCAGCCTGTGGCCCTTTGCTGCATGTCATCCCCTCTCTCTCTCCCCTTCACACTTACCTGTCCTGTCCATTAAAGGCAAAATGGCCCAAAAAATTTTTTTTTTTTAAAAAAAAAGACATGGATGTAAACTGTAAGTGCAACTCGAGTGGTTTGCGGAGGTATGCAACCACAATGTGATAACTCTCTCTCTCTCTCTGATAACTTTAGCTCCAGGCGTTCAGGAGGAGCTGAATTATCCACAGAGGTTTCTTCCTCTCCAGAACAAACGGACCAAGTGATTTAAACCGGTAAAAACAATGATGAGAGCAGTTTTCGGGTTTTTCTGATAGTGCTTGTCTCGGAGGGGCTGCGCAACTATGGTGGCCGATGTGAAAAAGCAAAAGGCCCTGTCTAGAGCCAGCATTTGGGTTGTCCGTTCTGGGCTACTGTAGAAGCATGGTGATTCAACATGGCACACTCCGTGGACGAGGCCCCGCTCCCAATGTGATATAAATGACTCATTCTACGGTCACAAAAACACAATGGTTTTTGTTTTTAGGTCATTATACACTAATGAAAACATACTTATGTTCTACACTGAACCTTTACGTTTCTTTTCCTCATATTTATCTTGATTGCAGCTGCCCTGGAAATTTCTCAATTACACAATTTACCTTATCTTCAGTATTCATAAGCTGATAAGAAAAACACACACCACCAAACCAAAGGTCTAGAAAATAAAGGCACTGGCGAGCTGTTTTGTTTAAAGCAGTGTTCAAATGCCACAGGGTCTATTTGTCTTTAGAAAAACAACAACAACAACAACAACAACAACAACAACAACAGTGTTGTCCTTGCTGCCACCATGTGCAGTGTCGCTGCTGTTGTGTTCCCAGCCAGTTGACAGAGAGCCTCCCTCTCACCAGCAGCTTTGGTGGGAGATGTGTCCTCTCCCTCCTCTCCCTGCCAGTGGTCCTCATCCTCCTCCCCTTCACAAGGGTCTTCAAAAGGGGGGTAGACACCTAGGTGCTGCATATGTGCCTCGGCCATCTTCTGCACAGCTACACACAGGTAAACACAGCACACACACACACACAGACAGGAAGACGGCCACACAAACACATGGACACAGGGATAGAGGGATATGTTGTTTTGGTTTTACCACGCTTCAACACTGTCAGTTTTTATCAAGCCTCACAGGGGTTTTTGAATACATGCCAGGCAGGCAGGAAGCCAATTAAACACATGCACTGACAGACAGACAGGCAGGCAACTGCAAAACGGTATCCCACACTGCTTTTTTTTTTCTTTTTACAGGAGAGCCTCCGCTGTTGTTTTCTATGCTTTCTCTCACCCTGTTCTCCCATCTGTTTGTTTGTACCCTCGTCTCCCCTCCACTGCCTGCCCTCCTCAGCGCTCTCGCTCGGCAGTGCTGACTCACACTCTTCCCTCTCCCTCCCTACACACTCTCCTCTCTTTTGTGATATTACCTAAACTCCCCCTCTCACTTCCTCTGGGTCACCTTGACTCTATCTCTCTCTCCCTTTCACACCCTCAGATACACAGAGTGCCACTGTGGTAGGTCACTTATTCTAGCTTAAGGTAGGTTATGTAATTACTCTGAGGTAGCTTTCTCTTCCGCTCTCTGGTGAAGGGCAGATTTCTGGTGCAGGAACGAGGCTTCCTGACTCATTATATCATCACTCGACATGCAACACACACCCAGAAATCCCCATTAAATGAAGCTCTGCTGACAAGCTTAGAAATGTCTCCTTTAATGACCACATGCAACAAACAGGAAGCCGCATGCATTAAGACACAAAAGAAAGTACATGTTTGTGTTCATGTATGTATTTCTGTCTTGTGTATGTGTGTTCGTGTCTATGTGCGTGTGTGTGTGTGTGTGTGTGTGTGTGTGTGTGTGTGTGCCACAGCTGTATACACAACTGACTGTAATCCTGGATGATCCAGACTTTCCTAGACTCACACTCAGTGTCTCACAGCTGTCACACTCTAATCTCTCTCTTACTCCCTTTCTCTGTATCTGTCACACACAAGTATACAGATCCTGTTGTACAGTAAGAGCAGAAACACATGGAAACATGCCTGTGCATATCACACATGCAGAGAAAATAAAGAAAAGAAATAAAGGCTATTAATGCATATCTACCCATCTGTCACATGCATTTGTTTTCCTTTGTCCGCTATCATGAATCATGGAAAGCAAGGAGGAAGTTGACTGCAGCGAAGCACGGTAAAACAAAAAAGGACTTAAAACACAAGGATGAACCACAACACACAACCACCACCTGTAATAGTAATACTGCTCACACCTACCTCTGAGTGATGGAGGCTGGTACACGTTTGGATTGACGCGTTTTGGTTTGAGCACTCCGTTCTCTCCTACGACCCACTGTGGACAAAGAGAGAGAAACATTACACCCCAATTTCTATACAACATTCTCTTTAAAATCCCTTCAAGACATGTTTTATTTACTGATAAGGCTTTTCCACAGAAAAGTTAAATTAGTTGTTATTTGTTCTTTGTTTAAGTCTACTCCTTCTCCCTTATTGAAAAATCCAGAAGCTATGAAGATACAAATGTTCATTTCAGAAGTTTAACTGCTGGACACACAGTTGGATGTCTCCTACTTCATTATGTGCACTGGACATTTGAAGGCTGTGGTGTCACAATTTTTCTTTGTTTCTTTTTTTTTTTTTTTTTTACTTAGGAAGGTTCCTTATTGACATTACAATGAAGTGTCTACTTTGCAAGGCAAGGCAAGGCAAGGCAATTTTATTTATATAGCACCATTCATACACAAGGCAATTCAATGTGCTTTATAAGAGAAATACGTTAAAAAACAAAAGCTAAAAGCAAAGTGCAGAAAATGCATTTAAAAAGCAAACATAAAGCAAAAGCAACAGCAGACAAATATAAAAACAATAGCTACATATTATCCTAACAATAAGTTACATATCTAGTTCACTGGTAAGCTGCAGTAAATAGTAATGTTTTAAGCCCTGATTTAAATGAGTTGACAGTTTCAGCCGACCTCGGATATTCTGGAAGCCATGATAACAGCTGCTTTAATTCTCTAAATGCTAAGAAAAGGCGCTCCTGTGCCTCCTTTCTTAGAGTATGCTGGGCCATCCTTTAAAAAAGGATGCTGTCCCACAGTTCCTCACAGCAGCAACATTTAAAACAATGCACCATGTGGCCAATCAAACAAACAACCAGCAACCTTGGGAATGAAATAATATTTTCCTCCAAGTTAAGTCTGCATGAACCTACACAGTAAGAACACATGGGGTAAAGTATCTAAGATGCACTTTTAGTAGTCCATCTTGAGGACATTATAGTTTCACCAAGGCAGACCACGTCAATAACATCTGCCTTCGCTTAATTACATATGTGTAAGTGCATTTGGATTCTCTCAGCACTGTGTTTGTCTGGTCCTATAAGTCCTTTCTTCTTTACATCTTTCTTTAAACTCATGACATTGTCCATTGTGGTCAAGGTATAAAGTGTTTCAGGAAAGACATAGGATGTCATTTTTTTTATGTTTTACTATTTGACTGTGGCTCAAGTGACCACATCAAGCTTGTGTAAGTCGCATTGAACCACGATTGGCTCCGACCTAGTTACTGATGTCACAAAATCCTGGCTGTTGGTACACTTATCAGCTTTAACTCGAGTACAGAGAAACTTTAACCCTTCAGCAGAATGTCAAAATATCCAACTGATGTAGCAAAAAGCAAAACAACAAGCATGTTTAGGTGGAGGGGGTCTTTAACAAACAACTTTATCACTTACAGAAGGCCTATGTCTTTGTTCCAAATCTACACAAAAGAAGACGTGGTGAGGCAATTTAATGTTGTAACACATTTCATACACAGCAGCACGGTTGCACAAGAGATGATGACAGTTTATGATGCCAACATACAGGAATATACTCAAACCCAGGATGCACCTTTACATTGAATGAAAACCCTCTCTATGTCATACACTGTCTTTATTTCTATGGCACAGTCATGACGTGTGTTTATCAGGTGTGCAATGCAATATTTGTAAGAGAGGTTTGTTTTCTCTGACACGTCAACATTTGTCATGAGTGTCACTGCACATGTGCAAGGATGCTTAGGATGATGCTTTTGTCGGAGTGAGCATTTCATCAAATGCATATCTTATGTTTCGACACTTTAGGTCCTCAGTACAGTTTAAAATTTGATAAAAATGTTTTATTACAAGGTTCACTTACTTATTTTTTATGAATCTTTCAGCCACATCACATGGCCTTCCTCAGTTTTTGTCAACTGCTGTCTCTAAGGTGAAGTCTTTATGGAAGCCCATTTCCTCTACTGTGATAACAAAAAAAATCCTGTGATTCTTTCTGATTGGAAACTTCCTCAAAGTAATTACTTAGTATCTCATAACAGTGAATAAGTCCTTCAAAAATAATAACATAATATTTTAAAACAATGGCAGATGATAAAGTCATTATTTTGAGAAAGTTTCGCAGTATTCTTAGATACTGAGTGATTATTTCAACATATGTTATTTATTATTATGAGGAAGTTTTTCATTATAATGACTTGCACAATCTTTTTTCTTTGCTTCACATTGGTGGAAATGGGCTTCCATAAGAATTAACCTTCAAGCTCAGGGAATTTACAATGTTCAAATGTTTGAATTTAAAAGTTCTTGGGTTTGAACAATGGGCGAACACACAGCATGAGTTTGTGATGATGAAAAAAATGGAGGAAAAGTTATGATGTTACAAAGGAAATACCAGTCGGGGGCTGATATTTATGAGGTAGACAGCAGATACTAGCAAAACACAGAGTAATGTTGGTAAACTCCAAAATGAGGGTGGGTGATTTCTTTAGTTCGTGGGATAGGGTGAAAGTGAATTGGAGGAGGATGGATAAGAATGCACCAACACTTATTATAGAAAAGTGTTTTGACGTCACCTTTACCTGATGGGTGGACTGATCATCATCAGGAGATGATTGGTCGGCTACTCTGAACAGCGTGGCGGGTGTGGGCCTCCTGCGCCGGATCTGTAAACAAACACACAAACATAAAGGGCAGCCATAAATAAATGAATAATTAAACTTGCCATCACTGTATTATTAATAATGCTCAGCACAAAGCCTTATCAATCAAGAGAAAAATGTTGACATGCTGGTGAAGGGCACGCTGGGGCTGCGCTGACTTCATCAGTGCAGCTGCCCAGTGTGCTGAAGGGTCAACAAGTTTCAACACTCAGGTCAGAGCACACGCCACGGTCAGTAAAGCAGAGGAGGACTCATTATGCAACTTCCAGATTTCATCGACAGATACAGTGAACAGTATGTTGTGTGGAACAGAGGTTAAATTCATGCTTGCTGCTGCTCAAATTTCAAATTATCCAGCATTTAAGAAGTGCTAAAGCTTTAATACAGGATTTATTTGAACTGAATGGTCTCCTCACACAACACCTGAGTGCACCTTGTACAGTCATATACACCCTCACAAACAGAGGGACCATGGAAAAGAGGATTTTTAGACTAAATGAGCCACAGCAATTAGCCCAGACACTCCCCTCCCCTCCACTGTTTAGCCACCCTCTCCAACACCACACACTGTTCCCTGGAGGCTGAAGCCAGGCTTTTGTCGGTCTGAGAGCAGACAGCCAGACGGACTGCAGGTCTGCACGCCCCCTCTAGTAGAAATCACTGTATACAGTGAACTCTCTGTCCTTATAGGAACAAATGCCAGGCTGTGCCCCTCCAGCCTGCCAATATTGTGCCCTGCCTGTTGGACTTCACTCTTACAGTTTGATACTGCTTTTGATACAGTTGATACTCACGTTAGTCCTTTTAAAGTCATACTACACCAAAAATGTATCTTATGAGCATCAAACACTTTTGAAATCTATTGCAACAAACACAAATTTCAAGTTTAAAGGTCCAGTCTGTAGGATTCAAGGGCATCTATTGGCAGAAATGGTATATAATACCCACAGCCTAACTATGTTTTCATTAGTTTATAATCACCTGAAAATAAGAATTACTTCGAATAAGCCAACATAGGGAGTAGGTTCTCTCTCATGGAGTCGCCATGTTGTTTTACAGTAGCCCAGAATGGAAAAACCAAATACCAATCTAGACAGGGCCTTAGCATTTTTGAGTCACCATAGCTCTCGACATGCCTTTCACATGGGAGAAGTTTCAGGTCTGTAACCTCATCACTAGATGCCACTAAATCCTACAAACATGACCTTTATAACAGCTTCTGTCTGTTCACTACAGAAGCTGAAAACGGCTGTGCTTGCAATTATTTTTTAAATCCCGTTATCTCAAGTTAATTACTTTGTGATTTAGAAAAAACGAGCTTTGTTATTTTGATGTGACGAGATAATCAACCTATTATCACAAGAAAACAAAAGGTTGTTTCCTCTTATTGCTTGTAATGTTTATGAGAGATCAGAAGCGACGTGCCAGCATGCATATATGACATCTTGACAACTGTAACATCTGAGGCAACTTAAAAATGTTACATCGAAGCGCACCTATTAATGATCAACACATTAGATTGTACTTCGGTCAAATGAGCAGTTAGTTAGCAGAGTTATGGATCACTTGTGAATCCTCCCCTGACAGTCACGACAGTGAGCTTGAATGCTAAAATCAGGTATGATCATATGAACCAGACACTATTTTTCAAGTGCTCCATAATTATCCTGTGAGCTCAAGAAAACAAAAGTCATTTTCTTGTGATAAATGATCTTGTCACACGCGACATCTGCCTTTTGTCCTCTCGAGAATCGACATAAATAAACCACGTCTCAAGAAAATGAGGTGTATTATCACAAGATAAAGAAATAATAAACTCATGATCACAAGATATTGGACGGTTGCAAGCGTGGCCTTCTCAGCTTCCGTAGTTCACCGTGAAGCAGCAAAATGTAAACTTTATACAAGCCTCCTTTAAAGCACACAGGAAGTGACTGTTTGATACTCAGAAGGTAAGTTTTTGGGCTGCCAATTACTTCAATAACAATACTAAAACACCCTGAGCAGAATGTGTGGGGCCTTTGCTTCACAAAGAAAGACTCACATGGAGAGCACTTTGACTCACTTTCCCGCAATTCTACAAGATTAATAGCTGACATATATAAAACTACCTTTTGGAAAAACGTTGGATAAAATAACGTGTGCTGAGAGTGAAAGCAGTGCAGCTAAGTGGACTTGGCAGGTCAGACAAACGAGGTATTGAAAAGTGTCCTCTGTGGAGCGAGCCAACCTTGGCCATGACATGAACCCTGGCGCTGCTGTTTACGGCACCACATAACATCACAGGAAGAGAGTTAAGTAGCCTGGCTGTATTTTGCGTCAAACTGCTCCATACGGAGAGATGTGTTTTCTGTTCTGTCACCCTCCATCTTGTTAAGAGAGGTGTGCGTCATCGCAGTGAGGAACATGTTGCCAAAGCAGAGGCTTGCTGGGCCGCGTGGTGGAAAGCTGCCGCTGTCAAACACAACAACACGGAGCAATCGAGCATAGATTTCACCCTTATTTATGACACCAGACACACATTTTAATCTCGTCACGCAACTTCCAGCTGTCCTGTCTCCCCTGTATCCCTCGCGCTATCTGTCTTTCTCTCGTTCTCCTCTCATTTCCATCTCACTTGATCCTCTGCTTCCTCTATCCTGTTTACTTCCATATCCATCCTTCATTCCTCGACAGTGACATTTTGCTCACCGCTCTCCCCCTCTCCTCTCCATCACGAGAGTGCGTCATAACTGATGTTATTATCCCTTTGTTTGCTGAATTGTCTGTCCTTTCCTTTCCTCAACTGATCTCTATCTTTCTCTCTTTACTGGCAGGGATCATCCACAGGGCTTTCTTCGACCCCTCCTGTCTCCCCCACCTCTCCCCCTGGCAAGGTGTGGAGGCCTGGGGCTCCATGCTGCTGTGAACCCTGCTGCCTCTGCCTGGCTGACACCTGCTACCAGCCTTGCAGGGCAGCCTGAGGTGTCTCACACAGACCCACAAGAGAGAGCAGACACCAGATGCTGCCATGACCAATCCTATGCCCAAGTCCTGTGGCATTAAAGCCATTCAACTGGGAAAACCACTGGAACGGTCCTCTATGGCCCCCCCATGAAGGCATTGTATGTGTAAGGTGTGTAAGGTTATGGTAAGGTAGGTCTAAAGGACAGCCCAATGGTTCTGCTGGTTAAGTTATCCAACACAATCTTACAAGTCGACGTAAGTTTTAGTCATATAAGGGATACTTGACCCACAGAATGATCATTTGTATGTCATTTCCTCACCCCATGTTACTTGAATTTATCAAGAACTGTGAACAGAGAATCTAAAAAAGCCAAACTCTCACACTTGCAGTATAATCCAAGTCTCATTAATCCAGTCATATGCTTAGTATTTCCCAAACACATGCATTTTCACTACAACAAGATTTGCTCGTATAGTAAGATTTTAGCTAAAATGCATGTGTCCTTGTTAACCATGGAGGCACGGGAGAAAAACAAACATTTCGTCGCATTTCTTTTTAAACAAAAAGGCCCCAAAATTCCAAGTTCAATGAATATTTCCAGCTTTTTTCAGCTTTGTACTTTTGCAAACTGAATAGCTCTATAGGATTTGTACTATTGGTCAGAACTTTCTTTTTGATTGTGAAAAACTGCGATGGACATTTTTCACTTCAACATCACTTTCCCATTTGATATTACTACAAATGCCTTGTTTCGCCTAGTAAGTACAAAATACCGTAGCTGTCAAACCTGTTCCTTCATCTTTACATCTGTTTTATAAGGAATGGTTATGTTAGATTAATCTGGTTAAAGTGATGGTTAAATCTAGGTCACTACTATCTTTTATGAAAAATCCAGCCATGGAAAAATCCACAGGACTCTCGCCTTTTGATAAACATCTGACAAAAACATTTCTCAGTAGGCATTATGTACACATTTTCAAAGCAATGCCCCAGGGCTTGTGCTTTTATCTACTATTTTTGCTGTCTTTGTAGTAAAAACAATGAAACAAAGGGATTTTTTTTAATTTTTCATACTGCCTGAAGTTTCACGACCCCTGATAAAAGGCTTCACCATCTATTAAACTGAGAGTGGAAGAAATATTTGCAGAATCTGCCTAGTTGTGAGGAAAATGTTGTTATTGTACATTTCTGCAAACCAGGAATGTGTTACATTTATATGTTTCATATGTATCATATCACTCTTTATAAAGCAGACTATAGCAGACCTCTTTTCCAGACCAACAAACAAATAAAACAGCTGCTTTTTAGTGAGTAACTGCTGTGTTACCATTGGCCTTTAGCCACCAAATGACCCGATGTTTTTCCACCAGGGATAGTTTTCACTGAGACATCGCTGCGTTTCCAGCCAGGATTGTGCCACCAAAACTGGGTATTTTAAACCAAAACATGATCTCTTCGTAACCATCACGAAATGGTTTTTGTACCTAAACTTAACCACAATGCTTAAAAATGCAAAGTTTTAATGTATCCCCTACAATAATACTGTACAAATGCAATGCATCTGTGGTTATCTAGACATTTGTTCTGACGATGATTTTGGCAGAATAACATTAAAAACTCCAGTTTTTATATTCAGATGGAGATAAAAATAGAGATGTTGAGAGAAATGGAGGGTAAAATGATTGTGTGGGATAATTGAGGTCACCGAGAAGCATAATCTGTAAATCTGATGATCTATTTACCTGACCATGCACTCGTATCCAGTGTGTGCGTGTGTGTGCGTGCAGCAACAGATAATTGTCCTCCTAATGTCATCACATAATCGCCATGGTGGTTTTGTGAAATGCCAAGACACGACCTCCTGAACCAGTGTAAAGACAACAGTCCACCTCCCAGCTAAATTGTAAAACAGGTTGTAAAGTCACAAAATGACAATAAAACCAGAGTCAACAAACATAGAAGCATTTGTAGCGAGTGAACAACAGGTGTCTATTTCCTTCTATCGTGCACATTCACACACACAAAGTGAGGGTACTACTGTATGACACTGGCAGAT